ACAGCAGCAGTTGTTGCAGTACAAATAAGTGATATGCTTCGGAAGGAGCATGAAATTCAAGATCTAAAGGAGTTCTTTTGGACCAATTCTACAGTCGTTCTTGGCTACATAAACAATGACGCCAGGCGATTTCATGCATTTGCAGCAAATGGCATTCAGAGAATAAGATCTAGTACCAAACCTTAGCAATGGGCTTGTGTTGTTTCTGAAAACAATCCAGCTGATCTTGCTTCCCGAGGTTTGACTGCAGAACAACTTAAAATCTCAAATTGGTTCACAGCAGAGGTGGGACCAAGTCATTGTTTGGCAAGTCACAAGTAAGTCTCAATTCATTGCCCTCAAGTCCCGAGTAGAGTCCCGAGTCAAGACAGGCAAGTCCCGAGTCAAGTCCCAAGTCAAAGGCAACAAGTCTCAAGTCAAGTCCAAAGTCCTATAGTTTGATTTTCGAGTCTTTTTAATGTATGGCTGTAAGATCTGTATTTATTAAACAAACCTTTTTTTTAATGAAAGAACATTGCTTAGATATATAAAGATACAAATGTAATTTTCTGAAAAAGTGCTAAACAGTGCTGCGTCTCGTCTACACAGCATATTGCACAAGAATGAGTTCCACCAAAAAAGAGTCCATTTTGCCTCACATCACACAGAAATTGCAGGTCTACTGCTGTCTAGTTCATTAAGTTTAGTTGTGCTATGTAATGTCTTCAGTGATCAACTTGTGATTAACTAAAACTACATAAACAACCTCAATGAGGCAGCAGTAGACCAACAACTCCTGTATGCTACAAAGTAAAATTGAGTGAAATTGGTATTTTGTCAATTGAATCTCGTGTGTGCTAAAGAGATGGAGATTCAAATCTGTCTAGCAGCAATGTAAAATGATAGCACATATTCTGAATGAAGTAGGCTACTTCATACAAACAATAACGTTGTTTTCTTCACATAACAATGAAGAACTTTGCTCTCTACCTTGTGTGATACTCGTGCACCGATTTCCTCTGTGGACAAAACTTGCGAGCTCTCAAATATACGCTGCTCACGCGCAAATTTTCTCCCTCTCAAATATGCACTGCTCACGCACACATTTTCCTGCGTGCTCTCAGAGATTATATACAGAATTTGTGTCTTGTGTTTCCTCTTCCTTTTGTGCTTTTTGATATGATTTATATTGAGGCACTATTTATTAACAATAACCAAAAGGTTACTTACATATTAAATTTTTTATCTAATAAACCATAACATTTTGGCTGTTTGTTATATGATGAGATATTTCCAGTTTCAAACACTTAAAGACACTGAGAATAGATGTTGGATGTAAAGAATGCATTTTGTTTTACAAACATTTATTAAACATCCAAAAGGTTCACCATACTAATCAAATAAAAAACATTTAAACAAAAATATAACTAACGCAAGCAGAATATTTCCATGTCATCCTCTTCATTTTGAGGAAAAGCTGTTCCACAGGGCCCCTGAACACATCTATTGGCATGGACAGGGTTTTGAACAGTACTATAGTAAAGTACTTTAATTAATCTGTTGGGGTAATATTATAGTTGCTATGGTAACACAAGTGTAATATAAACAAATGACCCAGTGCTGTAGTTTTTTTACAATATAAGGTATATTATACTACAATTCACCACACTTTACTGTAGTAAAACTACACTCTGTATTTCATTTTATTAGTTCACTATTCTTAATACTACAGTATGCTGAAGCATTCATTAACAACTTGTAAATAATACTAGGCTTAAACATAGGCAGTATATCTAACTCTCAAAAACACTAGTATTTATTATAGAATTTACCTTAACCTCGTATTTTTTCATGTTTTGTTACTAAATAGTGTAGCAATATATAAACCATATCAACATTTTGGAATAATCAATTTACCAGGAGGATCTCTGGAGAGCAAAAGCAGGAAAGGTATGAAGTGCCAGTGTGGACAAAACTCAAGCAAACGCAGAGAGACTGAATACGCGCGTGAGAGACCAGCCAATCAGATTGAAGTACCTGCCCACTGGTGAAAGTAATATCAGAGCCAATTAGATGTTTCTTTCTTTTCATAAAGAACGGGGTTCGAATCCCACTTAGGCACTTGTAAACAATCATTTTAGAACATTTTGTCAAAAATCCCTACTGAAAAAAACAGCTTAAACCAGCCTAGGCTGGTTGGCTGGTTTTAGAGGGGTTTTGGCCATTTCCAGGCTGGTTTCCAGCCATTTTCAGCCTGGTCTTAGCTGGTCAGGCTGGGAGATGACCAGCTAAAACCAGCTATGTCCAGCTTAAACCAGGCTGGTCAAGCTGGTTTTAGCTGGATTTTGCTGGTCAGTTTCCAGCCTGACCAGCTAAGACCAGGCTGAAAATGGCTGGAAACCAGCCTGGAAATGACCAAAACTCCTCTAAAACCAGCCTGGTCGACCAGCTAAAACCAGCTTACCAGCCTAGGCTGGTTTAAGCTGGATTTTTCTGCAGGGATATTGTTATGTTTAACCATTTATTAGAGCCACAAAGTATCTAAAACTTGTTTTCATGTTTGAATAGCCAATAAATGTGCTAAATAAATTCAAATAGAAATACCCACAGTGAAACAGTTATATAAATTTAAATATTAGTTTAAATACATTCATAGTGGTTTTAAATATCTTTTAATATGTAAAGTAGAGAAGTTCACATTCAACAAACTGAATAAAACAAGTCTTCGATTTTAGTTTATTTAAAAACAATTACAAATGGAGTAATTCAACTCACAATTAAATGATCTCATTGAGTGATGGAATAATAAAGGTAAAACTTTAATTGAATGATCAGTCAAGTGTTTCCAAATGAAATCTGTTAAAATAAGAGTCCTACAAAATAGGAACAAAGACACTCATGAAACAAAATGTGATTGTTAATTGTATTTTTTATTAGATAGTTGGTTTTAAGTACTTTAAAAATAGCAGATAATCCTTAAATATAGAGGGGGGAAATACAGAAAAACAAACAAACAGAAATTCAACATTACATTACAATCTCACAATAAAAATTTAATTAAAAACCATATAGAGGACTAAAATATTGCTAAGAGGCATAACATCAACAATAATAAAAAATACCTTTAAGGTTTTAAATACTAAATAAAATTAATAGTATTAATCCAAAATATGAAAAATGTAACACTTTACAATAAGGTTGTATTAATTAATTAAGTTTATGTATGTACTAATGTGAACAAACAATGCAGTGCAGTTCATTACAGTATTCATTATTTTATGCTTTAATTAATGGAAATAAAATTATTGGTTAATTCTTGTTAACTCACAGTGCATTAACATTAATGTTAACAAGCATAACTTTAAATTGTAATAATGCAATAGTAAATGTTAAACTATAATTAATAAAGGTTTAGAAGTATAGTTCATTATTAGTTCATGTTAGTACCTAGATTAACTAAAGAAACCTTATTGCAAAATGTCACCAGAAAATAACAAAACACTTTTTTCACAGTTTTAAGAGCTTTAAAAATAAATTATATATCTAGTTATTATGGCATGTAATTAATGTTACAACTAATTAAATAGTTAGAAAATACTGTCAGAGGATGGGCAAAACACAAAAATAAAACATAATATGCGCATTGACACAAACGACCAAGTGCAAAAACATAAATTACAGCCATGTTCATTCATAATTATACGAAATAAATCAGGAGAGGGTAAATTTGGTTTAAAAAAAACTGAAGTTCATTGACTTATACACAACAGTAAAACAATGCTTTTGCACAACAGTAACACATTGCGAGTAGTAAAGTCTCTTACCTTTGACAGATGTTGTAAATCCGCTGAATAAAACAAAAGGAGCAGATAGCGGATGTGTTTATTTTACTCTCTGAGTCAGAATGAAAATGGCATCTTCAAATTTCCCGCTGGTGCAAAAACACGGAAGTGCGCCACAAAGCGCTAGTGGTCGAAAGTATGCGTGCATGCTCTCTGTCACACACGCACACACACGCAGAGATAGAGCGTTCTGTGTCAACATACTTTTTATCTTTGGGCTTTTTATAGAAAGTAGCAAGTCTTTACAAGTCAATAGGCGCAAGTCCAAGTGGAAGTCCGAGTCATTTATGTTCAAGTCCAAGTCGAGTTGCAAGTCTTTTTATATTTTGTCAAGTCGAGTCTAAAGTCATCAAATTCATGACTCGAGTCTGACTCGAGTCCAAGTCACATGACTCGAGTCCACACCTCTGGTTCACAGCACCAAAGTTTCTTTGGCAAACGAAACTACCAGAAAGAGAATGCAAGGTGGGAGAAATCAAGGAAGATGATCCTATTGGAGAATTATAGAGGAACTTTTATTATGTAATCACTATATAATCACTGTATAATCTGCCACTATTAAAATACACTGTTAAAACATATAGAAATACATTCAAGTGATGCAGAGCAAAACACACAGAAGTAAACAGCGGTGAAGTAAGACCATTCAGACAGCATGTGCAACATGTATTGATGTATTGACCATGACAAAAACAACTTAAAAACAACTTTGCTCAACCTGCATGGCAAAAGCATGCATAGGGAGAATCATTTAAAAAGTGTTGAAATATGACCTTTAAGATGTGCAAAAACAGAAAAACATACAGCCATCAATATAAAGGCTAGAATCCTATTGGAGCCTGGAAATAACGTGATGCTCATGCTACACCACTGTTTCATGATGACTATAGGAAAAACCTGTATATAAACTGTGGGTTTTGGAACATTGGTAGGAGAGAGATCGATCGACCAACTCTGCTGTAACAATAAACTGCTTCAACTTGACAACTTTGAAGACCTCAGCCTCTTTTTGAAACTTAGAAGATGTTTGTCGAGATCCAGCGCAACTTTCCACAACATAATTTGGCGCCTTCAACGTGGGGCTGGATTGAGGGTGGTCGAAAGAAGGTGTCAATAGGGCCGATCCTTGGCAGATACTCACGCAGAGACCAAAAAGCGCGCAGATTAAAAAAGGTGAGCCAATTTTTGCTTTATTTTGGTTCTCTGATGAGTGTACTGTGGGGTAGACCAGACGCCTGAACTTGACTTTAAAAAATACCTCACCATTAAAAAGAACCTTTGAATTGACTACATTTATTAAAAAAAATGATAAAGTAAATGATAAAGTAATAAAAATATAGTTAAGTGAACTATTTATAAGAAAAAGAGGTCTTCCAGGTTGTCAAGGTATGTGATTGTACTAACAAATGGCTGTAAATTATGCACTTACTAATAGCTTTGTATTATATACTAACAAAGGGCTGTAAATTATATGCGTATGAAAGAGAGGTACATGCATGAATTGCTACGCGAGAGGCGTGAGCAGAACGCGCGGAGGCAGCGCTAGGGATCGCTCTTTATAGATGTAATCAGAGAAAAGGAGCGCTCCGCGTCTCTGTACCCGCCTGTGGATTGAGTAAGACTCTCCCGATAGGGGCAGGGAAATTGGGAGGAGGCCTTTAATCTGATTCCAAAAGCACCTATAGGGAGGGCTGGATCTCAGTGAACTGGCCTGTGTAAGTCTTGTTAGTCTATATGTTGTGTTTTTATGTGGTGGTCTGGACCAAAGTGAATGGGGAAATTTTTTCTTACAATTCCTAGAAAAGAGGATTGAATAAGAAAGCATATAATGCGAAATCTGTGAATGAGGATGCATGTGATGAGAGAATTGAAATTAAAGCATGAGTAGGGTGTGCTTAAGGATGTTGAGTGTTGGAGAGAAATTTCTGAGGTGTAGTGTGAGAGAAAGTAAGTATTATAATTAATAAAATAAAATATAGATAAAAATATTAATTGATTAGAGAATTAATAAAAAGTGCACATGCTGTGCTGGAGGGACAAAGCAAACAAAGTGGCCACAACAATTAAGAAAAGCAGTTTTGCATGTAAAAAAGGTTTGGTTTGTCTCCCAGGACCTGCTTGTGATGGTAAAGACACTTCAACTGTTCCCCCAAATTAAAATAAAAAAAAGTAATATAAAGAAAGGCTTAGATTCCAGATTAAAAAAGAATACTTTGCATGCAAATGATCTGTGTCTGTTTGTTAAGAGGCCTTGATAGCGACAGACGTTAACTAGTAACTGTTACTCAGATTTGGGAAGTTATTTAATGATGATATACATAGAACAGATTTAGATATAAATAGTGAGTTCTGAATGTGTGGTGACAGTTAAGAGATTAAAAGCAGATTGGATTATAGAGATGTGCACAAGGAAATTCCTGTAGTTATCGCTTTAGTGTTGTGTGTGTCTGTGTTTGTGTGAATGGTTGTGTAAAATTCCATATTAGTGGACAAGCAGAGCCGCCCTCCTGCACCGTCCCTTAAATAGAGCATGGCAGAGTTGGACGCTCTCTGTGTTGTACTGAGAGGAATGAATGACTGAATGAGCCCTGTAGATATAAAGGGACAAATGTTGAGTGAATGAGTCTTCTAAATGTGAAGGACTAGAATGTGAGAGTGTGTTTGACTGTTTGTGTTTAGTAGTGTGTTTGTGATAAATAGTGAAATAAAATAATCATTATTGTAGATTATAATATTATAATATTATATATATAATATAAAGATGGACTGCAGATATTGTGTGATATAGAAGAGGTATATATATATAGAAGAAGTATATGATATATATTGGAAAAGTATAGAAGAGACTGATACAGTTTAAGGAAGAGAGTATAATATTTAGGAAATAAATACATTTTGTTCAAATAGAAAGATATAAAGAAATATATTAAATTAAAGAGAAGCATATAACATAAGTTGACATGTGCATACAAAGAGATCATAATTTAAGTTCTTAGAATAAAATTTAATTTAGGGAATAATAGCATCTGATTTAATATTAGTGAGGTGTAAAAGTGTATATTGCAAAATAGTATAAGATAAATAGAATAAAGTAAATACAATATGGTAGAAGATTATGTGTTATATAAAGTAATAAAGTAAGAAGGTAAACGTTTAGGAACAGAGGGGAATAACACATAATAGGAAATAATAGAATTAGAACTTGAAAAAAAAAATATATTTAAATATATATAAGATACTCATCTAAGAGAGAACAGAACAGAAAATAATGGCAAAAGGAAGGAACATTTGATGTAAGCAGTGTGTGTGTGAGAGAGAGAGAGAGAGAGAGAGAGAGAGAGAGAGAGAGACAGGACAATGGATCAATGACCAATACAGAGGGAAATTATGGAAGTAGCAAAAGAACTTAAAATGGATTAAAAGCAAGTAGGGAAAGGTTAAAACTAAAGAGATGAGTGTGTAAAAAAGAGTGAGAAAATGTACTATAGAATTGAAACAGATTTAAAAAATATTAGAGAAATTCAAACAATGTAAAGAAAGGCCAACTAGTGGGAAAACACTAGATTAGGAAAAAACACAAGCTGAAGCTAAAGAAAGGAATTAGAAGAAAACTAAAGAAACAGAAAATTAAAAAAGATACAGTAGACTTAGTAATAAATATTAAGAAGAATTAACTATTGGACAGCAAATAGAAGAACATAGATGAGAGGAGTCTTTATTTGATGAAGGAAAAATGGGAAAGTGGAAAAATGCTTAGATTATTAACTAAGCAAATTGTTATATTAAATTAAGGGGCACGGAGATGGACTTTGAAGGGTCCTAGCCTTTTCGCCTGCCTGATATCCCTGAAGGCATTGGGAAATAGATTAAGGTGTTTTGAGAAACACAAGGAGCAACTTGTTGACTGTGGACTCTTATCACATGAACTAAAGCAGTGAGCCAGGCACTGCATACAGAGAGCTATAGAGACTTTGACCCATCGACATATGTTCAAAAGACACTTAAAGAAGGAGAAACAAAAGACTGATGAACTGATCAAAAAAGTTAAACTTTCCAGCAACATCAGCTGGGTGAAAGAGAAGCCAGCACCAAGAGGGAGGAGAAATGCTCAACACTTTAACTCCTTAAATAAGCAGGAAATGTGGGGATTCCTGAATACAACAATGCAAAGACTGCACCATCTGTGGAACAGTTGCCTTGGGGTTTGAGGGAGAGAGATTGGCTATGGCCTAGCAAACTCAATCTCAAAGCCCAGTAGACATATGATCCAAATCAAGTATGTTGCAAATTAAAACAAAAGTGTAGCCTTTCTTGTATCAAATCAGACTCCTGTCAATTGATTACTTAGAAAGTTATTTTATAAAATAGGACTTTACATTTAGTAAAAGAAATTTGAATTAAATAAGGATTATGAAATAAAAAGATAATATCTATTAATGAAAACAGATAGAAGATGTAAGTAAGACAATTGATAATGGGAAAATAGATTGAGTTAAAGCATTTCTGAAGCAGGGCTAGTAAAAAGAAGAATTTGTCTATGCAAATTTATAATTTTAAAAGAGATTTAGACTTAGAAAATTATTATCAGGAAGAAATTGAAGGAAAAAACAACAGCACAAGAAAATAGGTCAACAGTGAAAAGCTCTAAGTGTAGTAAAAGATGATTTGGGGAAAAAAGGGGTTTAATGTAATAGATTTTGTTTAATATATCCATACAAGTAAAAAAAATGGAAACTAAATTTGAGGACTAAAGAGTAAAGCAAAACAGAACAAAAAGATTAAATGATTTTTTAGTTAACTTTAAAATTACATGAAAGATGTGTATACAATCAAGTAGATGGGTTGCCTTAGAAAGTAAATATTAATAGAGAGAAGTTTAGAGAAAAAATAAATAAATGCAACATTCAAATGAACAAATAGTTCAAAATGATTTAAAGAAGTAAAGTTAATACTTAAAGAATTATTATCATTGCAGGACTTGGATTTAGAATTACAAAATAACCAGTACAGTGAGGGTTAAAATTAAACCAGATGCACATCTGCAGAGAAAAGAAAAAAAGCTGAAATAGGTATAAAAAACAATATTGAAGTTTTATTAAGAGTGGGAGTATTAACACCTAGTGATTATAATATGCAATACATATGTCGTTGGATATTTCTATTTAGATTATATTTCAATTCAGGTATGACAGTGTATGTAATTATTAAGATTTGAATTTAAATTGAATAAATACTATAATTATGCTGCATCAAAGCAGGTAAAAAGCAGAAGATATAAGAAAAATAAATGAGAGAAAATTTGTCAACTGAAGTTCCTACATTTTATGAACAAATGTTCCTCCTGATGTCAAATATTGTTGATAACTAGTTTCTTTTTAGCCAAGTTTAGGTAATTAGCAAAAGAGGATAGGTACCTATTAGTATTTTCATTTGCTGCTGAAAATTATACATACACAGAGTCTGAAGATCTTATGATGAACAGTAGTGTGTTACACTATATTTACACTATTACACTATAGTTACACTATATAGTTGATTTAAATATCAGCAGCTCCTCATAGCTCTAGCTCAATTAAAAGACAGCAAACCCATTATGACTTTTAGGGATGACTGAAATTTAGCATTGATGGAACAGAGAATTTTACAACAAACTACACTAAAAAAAATTTATGAAACAGGAAAGACTGCAAAAATAAGGCCCTAAATTAACAGGAAACACAGATTCAATAAAAGCATTTGAGATGATGAAAGAAAAATTAGTTTATCATTAAAAGAAACAATACAGATTTGAAAGTTAAACAAGTGACAGAATATGAGGTAGCAAATCATCTATAGTGCTTATAGAGGTACAGTCTCAATTGAAGAACATTGTGAAAATTAAAAAACAAAAAAAGTCTCTGTGAACAATCTAGCATGAAAGGGGGGAAATAGCCTATATACATAAAAGACTAATTGTTGTGCCAACAGCATCTCCAAGTATACTTATTGTCGATGCACATGAATTTGATCAAGGGTGAAGTATTAGGAAAACTTAAACAGCAAGGAGATTGGTATCAGTCGAATGCAGTGCTTAGTGAGTTTTGTCCATGTGACATCTATGCTAAATATAATGTGAGGGAAGGAACAGCAAGCAGTACCTGAAGTGATTTTTAAGCATTTAGTAATGAGGGTTTGAGGTTATAATAAAATGAGTACAAGGCAAGAAATACATGTTTGTACTACTTAACAGGTTGGGATTAAAATCTGGTTGTGATGATTAACTATATTTCTAATGAATAAAAACATCCATTCTTAGATTTGGACTATCATCAGAAATAATTTCAAATAATGATTGTGCATTAATAAATTTAGAGTAAATTAAGTAAATTAAAAATAGATAAATAAGTAAATAAGTGATTCAATAAATATTCAAATAAATAAATAAAACAGTTAAAGAAGAACTGTTAATTAAGAATGAATCAAAGGCTAGAGTGAAGTTTATCAAGCACAATCACAAGGACTGGTCAAAGGCACCAAGAAGATTTATTAAGGCCATAACTTTTTTGAAAAACGTAAAAAATGGTAAACCTGATTGAGTTTGGATTGGTAAAATGGACTGATGTGTAAACTGATGCTTTAATGAGTTTTTATGTAAACTAACAGATACAGGAACACTGCATGGAACGCTTATGGCACATAAGAATTTCTGTCGAATAAGAAAAACTAACTGCCATGTATGAAGTTATTTATTTACAGGAACAGAACAGGGAACGACAGAAGGAAACTGTTTTGGAAGATGTTCCTGCTGTTGTTGCTGCTGATGATGCAAATAAAGATGAGTGAAAGCCTAGAGGTAACTTCTCCAAAGGTAAAGGATTATTCCAATCTGACCGAGTTGGACAAGAGTATCAAACAATTGTCTTCTTAATTTTTTGAAAGAGGCAAATATCCCACAACAAAATGAATGTAAAAGAACAATCATCTAAAGAAAAATGCCGACCCAGAGGATATGCATGAATCAAACTGATACATATGCGATTTATGAAGAAATTGACTATGACCAGATCTCAGATGATCAGCTCTTAGAAGAAACTAATAACAGTGATTGGTATTGCTGGGAAAAATACACAGTTGAAAAATTGCAAATATCCAATTGCCCAATATGTTTATAATGGCCTCTATAAAGCTTATAGTGGTTGTAAATCTTTATGATTAAAGACATTGTGCAAAACTCAGGAAAATAACTGCAATATACCATACAGTAACTCACTGTTTTGCCAGGCTTGATGTCTTGATATTATAGGAAGCTTCAAATTTACATTAGAGAACAATGATAGGTTGAAAAAGAATGTAAAGAAATGGACATCAGAGTTCAACCAGCAGTAAGAGAGATCCCCACAAAATATGTGATAAATAAGAAATTAGAATATGAATGTTATATTCAAACAAAAGGATCAGAAAATGTAGAAAAATTTAAAGGAAATTGTGCAATAATTTGGCATTTAAGTGACAATATGTAGGAAAAAAATAAAATGCCTATATGCAAACCTTCCAAATGGCTACAGCTACAATAAAGAGTATAATGTGGCCAGTTTCTGAAGTTGCAATTATGAGAAAAAAAAAAGTGATAAGGCAGTTAACCGCACACTTGGTATTTGTACTGGACAATGTACAATTCCAAAGATAATTGCCCTTAATACAAGAATATATACAAATAGTACACTATTAGTGGATCTGTGGATCAGGAGTATTATGCCCTAATATTCCATTGGATTGGAAAGGGATTTGTACTATAGTTAAACTAATACAGAAAATGATAAAATGATTGGGTTAAAGAGTAGGATGACCTAGAAAGACAAAAGAATTGAAAGCAGCAGAATTATAAGCATCAAAGTTAAGAGACAATATACACCTGACTCAGAAGTTCACATAGATACAATTGGCCAACCTAGTGGAATACCAGATACGTTTAAAGTTAGAGATATAGTAAAAGCAGGACTCGAGGTTATAGTAGTGTGTATAATTGCAATGGGAAAAATTTAAGTATGGATTAACTACGTTTATTACAACCAACAAAGATTTATACATTACACAAATGATGCCCCTACAGCATTAGGAGAACAATTGGCTCTGACAAGTAAAATTGCTTGTCAAAACAGTGCACCATTTGCTGCACCTATACCTAAATAATACTGCCCCAGGTGGATATTTCATGGAAGCTATGCGGAAATTGGAAAACCTGAGAAAAGAAGTAAAAGAAAATGCTGGAGCGGATAAGAACTTTAGTGACTGGTTTGCTTCTGTATTTGGATCATGGAGACAATAATTGCTCAAGATTGAAATATGAGGAATTGCTCTACTTGTTTTTGTCCTTCTCTTTTGTTGTGTTGTGCCTTTTCTCAGATTGATGCTGGTTAAAGCTGCTGTCAAGCAGATAACCAATGTGCAAGTGAATAGAATTGTGCATGACTGCAGAGACCATGTCTATGAAGTCTTTGGGCCAGATTTGGAACAGTTGGATGAGTTTTAAAAACAATTTCTACTTTAAATTTCTTTTTTGTCTTTTAATTTTTTTGGACTTCTAACATTTGACTAATTTTTAATGGATGAGAGTTTTAAGCAAGGCACCATCCATAATACAAGAAAAAAAAAAAAAAAAACTAATAGAGTGGACTAAACTGAAAAATTGTGTGATTATTTAAGCCCTATTTACTAGTATACATTTCTGTATGTATTTAGGAGTTCATCGAAGCTACCAGAGCTCATATCAGATGTACACGGGGAAAGAGGGAAGATGATTACGGTCAAGGAACACCTTGGTATCCAATGGCAAGAGATGCAGAAGAGCAGACTCTACTGGCGGTTTAAAAACCCACTGTCTGCTCCAACACCAGACAGTACTCAGAAGTACCTCTGGCGACGTGGGATAAAACATCAGAAATGGCTCTTTTACAGGCGCCGAGAATATTCTACAACTATATGATTTCTATTAAATGATAATTAATCAAGTATATATGCAGTATACCAACAACTGTGAGCAAGGCTGACAAACATATGTTTTTAACCTGTCTAATGATTATTGTGTGTTGAACTCCCCAAGGAAAGTATTCAGTTAGGGAGAGCGGGATCTTTTACTCCCTCTAAAGTCAAAAGTAGAGGGAGACGTTTGGTTCTGTTTCTCCTCTGAAGTGCGGCGAAAGGATGCTGACAATTGATAAGGATGTAGATGGGCAACTTTTTGGTTGCACAAGTATGTTAAGACTTTGCAAGTGTTGGATTCTTGAGTTGCACTTCAGTGAGGGATTTAGGAAAAGGACTTTTTTGATTAAGTCCTTAAGGGGGGATTTATATTGGAGAATTATAGAGGAACTTTTATTATGTAATCACTATATAATCACTGTATAATCTGCCACTATTAAAATACACTGTTAAAACATATAGAAATACATTCAAGTGATGCAGAGCAAAACACACAGAAGTAAACAGCGGTGAAGTAAGACCATTCAGACAGCATGTGCAACATGTATTGATGTATTGACCATGACAAAAACAACTTAAAAACAACTTTGCTCAACCTGCATGGCAAAAGCATGCATAGGGAGAATCATTTAAAAAGTGTTGAAATATGACCTTTAAGATGTGCAAAAACAGAAAAACATACAGCCATCAATATAAAGGCTAGAATCCTATTGGAGCCTGGAAATAACGTGATGCTCATGCTACACCACTGTTTCATGATGACTATAGGAAAAACCTGTATATAAACTGTGGGTTTTGGAACATTGGTAGGAGAGAGATCGATCGACCAACTCTGCTGTAACAATAAACTGCTTCAACTTGACAACTTTGAAGACCTCAGCCTCTTTTTTGAAACTTAGAAGATGTTTGTCGAGATCCAGCGCAACTTTCCACAACAATCCTGAAATTCGCAAGGTGGTTGTGTGTAACACTGCTTCTAAGAAGAGCAGATCATTATTGGATCGCCTACTGAATTTTTCTGACTGGTCAAGAGTTGTGAAGGCAGTTACTACACTGAAATGTAAAAATCAAAGAATTCACAGGGGTAAAGCAACCAACAAAAGAAAGTACAAGTCTGGAAGAAAGGAAAGAAGCAGAACTTTTCATCATTAAACTGGTTCAAAAGGATGCATTCTCAGATGAGATAAAGTGTTTGAAACTGAAGAAAGTAGTTGCCAAGACTAGAAATTGTAGGCTGTATAAGTTAAATCCATTATTGCATGAAGAAGGTATCCTGAGAGTTGGAGGGCGTTTAAGTCAAGCTACGTTGCATCCATATGTCAAGCATCCGGTAATCCTTCCCAAGAACAGCCATATGTCAGCCTTGCTTATCAAGCACTTCCACGAAAAGGTACATCATCAAAGACATGGAATGACAATGAACGAATTGCGAGCTAATAAGATGGTGGATCCTGGGATGCAGCAGTGCAGTCTTATCACACATCTTTAAATGTGTCAAATGTAGAAAGTATAGAAGACCTGCAGAAAACAAAAAAATGAGTGACTTACCGCAAGACAGAATGGAAACAACTCCACCTTTTACTTGCGCTAATATTGACTGCTTTGGTCCAATTTATATCAAAGAAGGGAGAAAGAAGCTCAAGAGGTATGGTCTGTTGCTTACTTTATGTTCAAGGGCCAAACACATAGAGATGATTGATGACTTGACCACTGATTCATTTATCAATGCTTTAAGAGCTTTCATTGCAATAAGAGGAAATGTTCGTCAGTTAAGATGTGACCAAGGAACCAATTTTGTTTGAGCGAAAAGGGAGTTTGCAGAACTCATGAAGTGAAGTTTGTTTATAAACTAATTTCGAGAGGATCACGTGCTTATGATTTATCACGGCCGGTCTCGTATTAGCTAATCATCATCTTCCAATCATATGAGCCTTAAGCTACTATAAAGAACCACAATTTTCAGTCCATTATCTTCGTTTGGAAGACCGCTCCGCACTAAACTGCGCTCCAGCTACCCTTTACAAACAGCAAGCAAGCTAACGAACAACCATACCTCAGAACAACAATAACAACAACAATAACGACAAACATCTTCATCTTCTTCATCATCTGCTCTCCATCGTCTCCTCCCTCAATTATCCGGTACTTTCTCAAACAATTCTACATCATGAACAACGATCAGCAAAATAACCAACAAAACAACATCGCTCAAGATAACCCGGATCCCATCACATCTCCTCCCGCAACTCAACCTCCCACAGCACCGCCAGGATCTCAACCAGAGCCCGAGGCCATCATGAGAGGCCGACGCATAACACGCTCCATTTCAAATCAACTTCTCCGCCGCAGATCTCCAGCTCCAACCACTACAAGAAATCAAAATACTTCACCTACCTCATCCTACGTATCAGCCACCTCATTAGTCCATCCACCGAAGAGAATCACAGTCTTAGAAATCAGGAAACTGCTCGCCGAACTCGGAATTCACGCACCCAGATCGCTCAATAAACCGGAACTTCTCAAGCTCTACAATAATGCAACTTCGGACTCCCATCATTCAGCAAGCCCTCCTGCCAGACCAGCCATACAAAGTGCACGATTTACTCCATATCCACAAGCCTCACGCCCGATCCAAGAAAAAGTAAATCCAAACAAAAACACACAGCAAGCCACTCCCCCGCAAGAACGCAACTCCAGGAAACCCGGCCGCTCCTGATGACGTCACGCCCGCTCGAAGACTCCATTCAAGGAAACTCTGCCTCCCATCCCCTTCCTCATTCCTACTCAACCCCTTTTTCCTGGCCTCCTGCTCCATCTAGCTCTCTTATCACTCCTCATTTTACTTCTACCTCTAATGCTCCTCCTCATTGTCTTTCTGCAGCTCCTCTTGCCCCTCCTCAAAACCAAACTTTACCCTTTTCTGTCCAACCATCTACCTCTGCTCTCAATCCATCCAACTTGAATTTTTCATCTCAAAATCCTCCTGCTAATATGCCTCCTTTTTCTTCCTCCTTTCCAACTGCTCATTCAAGCACTGACCCTGCTCATATTTTCACCCTCCCTAATCCAGTTTCCTCTTCACGCCCCCCGTTCACCCTGTTCACCCTTTAGCACTGGAACCTCCACCCATCTCTAACTCAGCACGCAACCAGATCCTTTCAGGTGCCGACATAGATCTCATTTCACTCCTCTCACCGATTGCACCTCCCGCGGCAGAGCGCCAGGTCGATTGTGGCGAATTCTCAGTCTCTCTCAAACCATCAGCCAGTAATCAGTCCCGTATATTAACATTAGCAGAATTTTCCATTGCCTTTTCAAGATTTACAGATATAATATGCTCTGCGTTCCCCCATAGGAGACGCGAGTTAAATGACTACATGGCAATCATCGCCGAGCTCGCGCTCTCCTATGGGGGCACACACTTCTACACCTACCACAAACTTTTCTCCGCCAAATGTGCACTGCGAGTGACCCAGTGGAATCAGTGTCCTTACTGGGGGGCATTGGACACTGAGCTCCACAACAGGGTATTTTTAGGATGCCGCAATCTGACCTGTGCGGTCTGCCGCTCCAGCCTGCACCCCACTACCTCCTGTCCTCTAATCACCCCCTTCTCTGATCAAGCTAAACCACCTATCAAATCCACCAGCTACGTTCCTCAACCACCCAGCCACAACATCCCTTCTCTTCTGTCTGCCTCCCTCAAACCATCTCTCCCTAATCGTGACATCTGCATGAATTTTAATATCAGCAAATGCAATAGGATGCCTTGCAGATACCTCCATTTATGCTCCTACTGTGGTGGTGCCCATGCCAAAATCATATGCCAAGTTCTCAGGGCAAACAATAAAAAATCAAAAAATTACTTGTCGACTCCTGTGAATATTTCTAACCTTGCTGCAGAACTATGCTCTCACCCTGATACTAACTTCTCTGATTTTCTCATTTCAGGTCTAACTCACGGATTCCACCCAGGTGTCTCAGCTCTCCCTTCTCACAACCTCTTTTGTCCCAATCTGCAGTCGGCCATCACTGAACCAGAAACTGTCGATTATCTTATTAAAAAAGAAATCGACAATGACTTTATGATTGGACCATTCAAAGCCCCTCCATTTAACATATCACGCATTAGCCCCATAGGAGTCGCAACTCGAAAATTTTCAGACAAAAAACGACTAATAATTGATCTTTCAGCCCCCCACAATTCTATTTTTCCTAGCATTAACAGCACCATCCCTTTAGACGAATATTCGCTCAACTACCATGACATTGAGCAAGCTATCACCCTCATCAAAACAGCCGGTCGCAACGCCTGGCTAGCCAAAGTAGACATTTCATCTGCCTTTAAAATCATGCCAATTCACCCAGATTTTTGGCATCTTTTTGGCATACTTTGGCGTTCCCAATTTTATTTTGCAGTTTGACTAACTTTCGGATGCAAAAGTAGTCCAAAAATATTCGACATGATGTCAGAAGCCCTATGCTGGATTTTGTCCAATAATTACAAAATCCCTCACCTCATTCACCTCCTAGACGATTTTCTCATAATCACCCCCCCTTCCTCACCCCCAGCTAAGCACCTAGCGATCACCCAACAGGTTTTCGCTAATCTAGGAATTCCTCTTGCAGAGGAAAAAACCTCAGGTCCCAGTACTTCAATCGAATTTCTGGGCATTAATTTAGACTCACAGAAGTTCCAAGCATCCCTCCCTAAAGAGAAAATTGACCGTATCATTTCTCTATCTCAGATATTCCTAGAAAAACAAACATGCACTAAACGAGAACTCTTATCCATTCTCGGCCATCTCAATTTTGCCATGTGCATAATTCCCCAAGGCCGCCCATTCATTTCTCACCTCCTCCAACTCTCCACCACAGTCCATGGTTTAGAGGAAATAATCCTTCTCTCTAAACCCAGTCGCGAAGAACTGAGCTTATGGATCTCCTTCCTTAAACAATGGAACGGATGTTCCTTCTTCTACAGCGACTTAGTAGCATCCCCCATTGACATTAATTTATTCACAGATGCTGCCCCGTCAGTTGGATTCGGAGGCTACTATAATGGGCATTGGTTCGCTGCCCCATGGCCTGCCCAATTGACTTCCATTCCAAAAGATCAAAGCTCTTCAGCTCTCTTTGAACTCTACCCAATAGTGGCAGCTGCCATCCTTTGGGGAGATGAATGGTCCACATCTAGCATACTAGTCCATTGTGATAACCAAGCTACCGTTCATTGCATCAATAAAGGGCGTTCCCACTCCTCTTCAATCATGCCATTGCTAAGACGCCTCACTTGGATATCTGCTCAAAAACAATTTATCATGACTGCTGAATATGTGCCTGGTTGCAAAAACCAAATTGCTGACTCTCTCTCTCGTTTTTCCTTCCAGAAATTCTGGCTATTGGCCCCGGAGGCGGACCCTCAACCAACACCTGTCCCTCCTTATTCAGAAATGACATTGCCATAAACCATCCCCTCTACAATTTACACCAAACCTCCATATCTCTCATCCTACAAGCGGTAGCCCCCAGGACCCTCCATTCATATCTCACAGCATGGAACTCATTCAAACATTTTCACACCCTCCACCACCTTCAGTTCCCCGATTTTTCCCTCCTCTCCATTACCTCCTTTATAACTCACCTGCACACTGTTAAACACATCCAAGCAAGTTCAATCAGAAGCTATCTCAGTGGGATCCAATTTTTTCACAAATTAATTCACGGGTCCCTCTCAGATACCATCAACAATTCGCAAACCTCCCTCCTCATTAAAGGTGTTCAAAAAGCCCACCCCACCACCCCCGATTACAGACAACCCATCACACTCAAAATCCTCTGCTCCTGCATCCATACCCTACGCAAAGGTTACATTTCCACCCACACAGCCCGCACTCTAGATGCCATGTTTACCCTAGCCTTCTTCGGCTTTCTCAGATGCTCCGAATTAACAGTTGCATCCAAGTTTAATCCATCACTCCACCCCACCGTGTCTGATCTAACTTTGCAAGATAAGGAAACAATTTCTTTCCTTATCAAACAAAGCAAAACTGATCAATTCCACAAAGGACACCTTATTTACATTTTCAACATACCTTCCCCCACTCAACCCTTCCAGACTCTCCTAGCATTTCTAAATCTAAGGAAAACCCAAGAAGCTGACCCTCTAGCCCCACTGTTTACTGATGACGCTAACCGTCCAGTAACTCGCTTCTGGTTCCAAAAACACCTTAAAGAAGTGCTCCGCCTCTCAGGTTTTTCCCCTGAGCCATTTTCCAGCCACTCTTTCAGGATTGGCGCCGCCACCACAGCAGCCTTCAATGGGCTCTCCCAGCATCAGATCCAAACCCTAGGTCGTTGGTCCTCTGAAGCCTTCAAATCCTACATTCGCCTTAGTAAATACCACCTCAAAGAAGCCCTTCCAGCTCTGACTCTCGCAAGAGTCCAACAGAGCCTCGATTCTCGCAAGAATCATCCAAGCCAAATCCAAGCTTAAGTTTGTTCTCACATGTATTTATGTGTATAATTACCTATACTTGTTCCATCCATCCAGCTTCCCAACCTTCATTCTTCTAGCATTATTGCCCACTTTACCTTTTGGCTTCAAGTTCCTTTCTTTTCTTCTACATTTTACTAATTTCCCTCTTCTCTTCTACATTCTACTTGTAATATCTCTCTTCTCCCAATCAGACACCATCCCCAAAACTCCGACCCCCGCAGGGGTCCCCGTGAGCCCCAACTCCCGCAGGAGTTACCCCCCCTCTGGCCCTTACAGCCCCACCCACACCCAACCCTTACCCACAAGCACGACTTAGCCCCGTACATAACTCCCAAGATCCCCCCCTTTTTAGCATTCCTCGACCTCTTCCCTAGTCGCTCCTCCCATAAGCGATCACTCCCTCTCCCCTTCTGCTAATCATTCCCACCTACCTCCCTCACCCACGACTCCAATCTCAGCAGGAGATTTGTTATATCACTCATGTTACCCCTTCCTATTTGTTTCCCTTACATCCAACTCAAACTCCCCACCCCAAACCATTTCTTTCCTCCTGAACCAATCTAGCCCTGACCCCCGCAGGGGTCCCCTTCATGCTCCAATTCCTCCAGAGTCCCTCCTTCCTTTATGTATCAGCCCTGGTTGCACCCACCACTCCTTTCCTCCACCCAAACTGTCTCTCCAATATAGACAAGCCAGCCCCTGCTTCCAATCCCCGCCAAAACACAGCTTATGCCTCCCATTTAGAATATAACTGGACAACCAACCTCTCAGCCATTCTTCAGCACCCATTCACATTAAACCCCTCCCCAGCCCTCCCTGCTAAGCCTCTTGCAAGAGCCTTACCTTTACCATCTTGCTATTATGTCCAGTTCCCTCACATAGCTCAGATCCCCTTACACTTCATAGTCTCCATACACAAACCCCCACAAGAACCTCACCTACCTTTATATCCAGCAGCCCGATATAGCTCCATTATTCATTTAATTTTTTCTCTTGCTTTTTGGGGGGTTTTTCTTAAATATGCGGCTGCTGTCCCGAGCGATTATTTAATGCAATTTGGGGAGTTCTGAGATCCACCGAGCTCAGGCTTCCCTCCAGCTCTGCGAACGGGGGGGAGCCCCGGGCTCGAGGATCCCTTGAGCTCGGGGCTCTCCCCCGGGACAGCATGCCAAACAAGCTTTGATAGATCATTGGCTAAGTGTGAACTCTTGAAGTGAAGTTTGTTTATAAACTAATTTCGAGAGGATCACGTGCTTATGATTTATCACGGCCGGTCTCGTATTAGCTAATCATCATCTTCCAATCATATGAGCCTTAAGCTACTATAAAGAACCACAGTTTTCAGTCCATTATCTTCGTTTGGAAGAAACCCCCCTTCCTCCCCTATTCTCCTCCTTGACATTTGATTGGGCGGCACGGTGGCCCAGTGGTTAGCACTGAGAGCCTCACAGCAAGAACACCACTGGCCTAGTTCGCCTAGCCGGTGGGAGTTTCTGTGAGGAGTTCGTATGTTCTCCCCGTGTTCGCGTGGGTTTTCCCCGGGCTCTCCGGTTTCCTCCCACCATCTAAAGACATACATCACGCTTAAGAACCATGCACGCCTTAGCCCCTCCTCAGATGTTCCCTTAGCTATCGCAGTCGGGGAGTTCTGAGATCCACCGAGCTCAGGCTCCCCTCCAGCTCTGCGAACGGGGGGGAGCCCCGGGCTCGAGGATCCCTTGAGCTCGGGGCTCTCCCCCGGGACAGCATGCCAAACAAGCTTTGATAGATCATTGGCTAAGTGTGAACTCTTGAAAGGTATGGATCAGAAAAAGTTAAAGCTCTAGGGTGTGAATTTCTTATGAATCCTCCAGCAGCAAGTCATATGGGAGGAGTCTGGGAAAGGCAAATAAGAACCATAATAAGTGTTCTTACTGCCGCTCTGGATCAGTCTGCACAGAGGTTTGACAGTACCTCTCTAAGGACATTTTTGTATGAGGTTATGGCCGTTGTTAATAGCAGACCACTCACCACCGAACATTTGAATGATCCATTAGGACCTGAACCCTTAACTCCGAACCACATTCTTACTATGAAGTCTACTATCATTCTTCCTCCACCAGGACAGTTTACAAGAGAAGATCTTTACCTGCGAAAGAGATGGCGCAGAGTACAGTATTTGGTAAATGAATTCTGGACTCGATGGAAAAGGGAGTATCTTTTAAACTTGCAGCCAAGACAGAAGTGGCACAAGAATCAAAGGAATTTAAAGGTTAATGACATTGTCCTTGTTCAAGATGATCTTGCACCACTTAAAGGGGTGGTCCACAACGATGTCACATTTTAAGCTTTAGTTCATGTGTAATGTAGCTAAGTGAACATAAACAACATCTCTGAATGTAATATACCCAAAGTTCAATGCAAAGGGAGACATTAGCTTTTACAGAGTTAGCTTAGCAAAGCCTACAACGAACGAATTTTGGAGACTACAAACAAAGTCTTCCGCCCCCTGTGACATCACAGGGGTTCCAGGTTACGCGCATTTACTGCTCACACGCCTTGCGCTGCAAAGAAGCGTGGCCACAGACGCGTAAAGAACGGAAAATGCCGAAACGCTGCTATTTTCATGGATCTTGTTCTGCTTCGCTATTTAACCTTCCAAAGGACGTGACACAAAGAGAGAAGTGGTTATAATTCATTTTTAATCATGTTCCAGAATATTACAAAAAAGATATCACTCTCTGTGCACAGCATTTTACAAAGGACAGCTTTCAAAATTGGTCGCAGTTCAGGGCTGGATTTAGCCAAAAACTTCTCCTCAAAGAAGGAGCAGTACCTACGATAAAAGACGATGCTGGGGATTGTGAGCTACAACCTGTAAGTATTTCTATTTGTTGCAATATCTTACATGCATAGTTTCTAGCATTCATTGTAGGCTATGTTGTAGTACGGACGTAAACCAGGATATAAACCACGAGAAACGCGGTTTGTCTTTAGCAATTGGTTTTGTCTTTGTCAATTGTTAGTCTTTAGTTTGTTGAGGTGGTCTCTAAGTAACAAAGTTATGAACCGGGAGGAGTATGGATCGGCGATCAGAAGCTATACCAAAGTAAATGCGCTAGCTTGTGGATGATATTACGGAAGTTTTCCTGTGGAAATAACAACGGGAGGGTGGCAGAAGATGAGTGTGAAATACGAGAAACTCTCGGGAAAAAACGGGAGTTTAGCAGGTATGATTTAGCTAACGTTACAAACATACGTATCGGTTTTATCCCTGTAATTATCCACGCTCGTCACCAGCAAACACGATGTATATGTATGCGGAAACATTGCGTGAGTTTTACAATTGAAATAGTGGAGTATATTATGTACAGACATCCGAAGTCTCCCTGAGGCGCCGCCACAGCCCCCTCCTCCCCCGCTCGCTATTCATCTTTGTCGTGAAATCTCCCACTCTCGCTTTTTCTGTACGTCGCTTTTCAAACTACTTTTATCAACTTGGGAAGTTTGTACATATACTGATAATGCTTTGAAATAGCCGCAAGTTGCTACGATGATGTACATCTGCTTAAAAAAACACATGCTGGAAATGTATGTTTTGCTGCAGGTTTCAATGGGTTTGCTGGTCTCAATATTGGTCAGGGCCAACACTGAGAACAGCTAGACCAGCACTGAAAACAGCATCAAAACATATCTTACTAGCATGTGATTTTTTTTAGCAGGGGTGGCAATTAAAAAATAAACAAACACATGCTTTTTATTTTTACCAGACAACATCTCAACAGGTTACCAGCTCCCCAGACCTACCTTCCACACCTACACATGTAGAAGTTGCATGTCAGGTAGACATTAAAGAGACTGTGACAGTAGCCACCAAAACATCACCAAATGTGCGATCAGTGGGTACTAAAGTTTCTTTTCGTACTTTGCGGGACATCCATGTAAGAAGCAAAGGTATGTTTTATTTTATTATTTAAATATTTGCTGTTGTTTGTTTGTGCATTCTAAAGTTGTTTGTGTGCCAGGTATATTGTGTATTAAATAGCATGAATAACACAATTCCCTTTTTTTTAATAGGTATTCAGGCGAAAGTGTCTTGTCGTAATGTTGGCACAGAAACTATTTCTTTGCCAGATATGCAGCTCTCTTCAACACCAATTAAGGGTTCAATCTTTAGGCCAAGCAAGCGACCTCGTCTTTTGTTGGAGGAGGAGGATGACAACAATGATGATGAGGACGAAGAGTCTGATTTGCATGTAGAACCACATGACTCCACTTATAATCCGGAATCTGTTGTCACGGAAGATTCACAGTCAGTGTAAGTTAATGCATCTTTATCAACAACTTTGTAGTATACAGAATGTATCATACTATTAAATATAAAATCATAATATTAAAACATTGATTACACTTTGTTTCATTTAGGTTAGATCCAGAATCAAACTACATGGACAACAAATACATTGTATTTGAAAGCTGCCTTATAGACTTGTTTGGTTCCTGTCCCGTCTGTAAGACAAAGTGTGCCATCCAAAAAAGACAAATGGGGACTTTTATTGCATTCACACAGCTGTGTGACAAGTGTAACTACCTACGACAGTGGCAGAGCCAGCCCATAGTAGGTAGTACTCCAGTCGGAAACCTGATGTTGTCTGCTGCTACATATTTCACTGGTGGATCATTCATTCAACTACAGAGGGTAATTTAAACAATTTAGTATTCTCAAATAATGCAACAGTAAAAATAAATGTTTATACATTTTAAATACAAATTTTATGTGTGCGTATGTGTGTGTATATATATATAATGACTTATTGCTTCAATATCTCCTTAGGTTTTCAAGGCCATGAATCTTCAAACGATTCAGTACTCTGCTTTCAGGAACCATGCCAGAAATTTTTTAGAACCTGCCATCATACACAAGTGGAATCTAGAGCAACAAAATATTTTTACACAGCTAAAAAAAGAGGGAGCGGTTGCATTAGCAGGAGATATGAGAGCTGACACACCAGGTATGGTGGGTTTATTTAAATCACTTTGAAATCTGATAAATGTATGTGTGTTAATGTATAATTCTTTTTTTTTCAAATAGGACATTCAGCAAAATTTGGCAGCTACACATTGATGGACAATGAAACCAACAAAATTGTCGATCTTCAACTAATTCAGGTGAGTGTAAACACACAAGAACTGTTATACTTGTTTAAATTTGTAAATGTTTCTACTTATTTATTTGAACTTATGCGTACTTATCAACAGAGCAACGAAGTCGGTGGAAGTTATCACATGGAAAAAGAGGGATTAAAACGTTGTCTTGATAAGCTGGATGCTAATGGTTTAGCTGTTGACTACATAGTCACCGATCGCCATCCTCAAATTCAAAAGTACCTGAGAGAGCGTGGCATCACCCAGTTCTATGATGTGTGGCACTTTGAAAAAGGTAACAATATGTAATACACATGTATATATAAATATATGAGTAATATTACATTAATAGCAAAAATCAAAAAATGTGTTTAGAAAAATAGATAGATAGATAGATAGATAGATAGATAGATAGATAGATAGATAGATAGATAGATAGATAGACAGATACATACATACATACATACATACATACATACATACATAGATACATAGATAGGTACACCGATAGATATAGCACACCGCTACTTATGTGGCAATACTTGTATAATTATTATATTTATAGAAGCTTAGTCATGTTGATTTTTGTTTTTCATTTGAGTTTCTTGATGTAATTATTTTACAAATTTTGTTTTTGATTGTACAGGTTTGTCCAAGAAGCTTGAGAAGCTTTCAAAAAGGAAAGAATGTGAGGTGCTGAAGAGATGGTTGAAAAGTATAAAATAACCATGTGTACTGGAGTGCGACTTCCTCCGTGTCTGGCCCGGAAAAGGTTGCCAAATTAACATCCTTACTGAACCACATACAAAATATACATGTTCACAATAACCCGCTGTTTCCAAAGTGTGAACACCCTGATGTACTTTCAAGAGATCGCAAAAAATGGTTCCAACCAGGTATTTATCCAAAAAAAGTTTATGAATTTACACAATACTGGTTAAATGTAGAGCTGCTGTTCGTATTTCATGGCTGTATCATTACAGGTTCACAGGCCCTCTATAAAGTAGAAAAGGTTTTGAACAACAAGAGAGTTGTCAAGGATGTTGCAAAACTCAGCCACCACTATCAAACATCCTCACTTGAGGCATTTCATAGTGTAATTCTGCGTTTCACACCAAAGAATGTTGTTTTTCCTTTTATTGGAATGCTGTGCAGGTGTTTATCTTTGTTATTTTCATTTAAAATATTTATACAATAGTTGTTACAATGTGTACATTTTTCATTGGTTTGTTCAATGATTTACAGGTTATATCTCGCAGCTATGCACCAGAATGAAAATTGTCAACGTGAACAGGCAATAACTACTACTGGACAGGCTGTGTACAAATTTGTATTTCCAAAAACGAAAAGGGGGGAATGCACAGCAAAACCAGTGAAAACAGAGCCAACATATGGTAAGTTGGATTTTTTTTTTATTATGAGTTCTTAATAACAAAATTACAAATAATTATTTATGAGAAAGTAAATATAAGCAGATTAAATAAATTATGAATAAATATCACAGTATAGTTGTTCCAAACATGTAATTGTTTTCTCAGAAAACATTTTTTTTTATTATTAGGCTACGTGAAGGACCTCATGGTCCTTGTGCTAGATGAGGTCTGTTTGGATCCAGCACCATATGTGGAAGAGCTGCAGTCCATTCCGGTTCCACCACCTCTTTCCTCTCAATTTGAGAAACCCTCAAAAGAGCATGTTATTTCACAGCATGTTTCAAGATTTAATCAAGGGGAGGCCGGAACCCAACATACTGTCCTGCTGCATTCGGAAACTCCTGGCGTATCCGGCGCACCACACATGACGGGATGACAACCCTCACTTCACGTCCTAGCCAGCCCCAGCACCAGCTAACAAAGCTGCGATATGACAGATAACGGAAACGCCTATGGCAATAAAAGGAAACGGATGTCAGCATTGCATATCAAACCTTGCAATTGTACATATGTGTATATATTTATTGTCTATTTAAGTTTTTTTAAACTGGTTTTCAGTGATTTGTACTTAGTAACTTAAAATACATTTATTAACATTTATTAAAATACATTTTACAAAAACTTACTCTTCAACATTTCTGTGTCTCAACGGTCCATAGTCTGCCCTGTATATATTATTTATATTCTGTAATGTGTACATGTTTAAACAATTGGGTTCAAAACCAGGATGCTGCACCATGCAAGTAGGAGGGTCTGGAACCTGCATCATACGCTGGACAACCTAAACCGTAATGTATGACAATAATTAATTTCTGCGTGGTCAACTTGCATGTATCCTTTATGAAAAGTGCACTATTAGTCAAACTCAGAAACATTAATGAAAAGCCATTAATGCAATTACATTACCTTCTGTGTTTCTTTGCAGCAGATGTTTTCTACTTCTGTTGGCATTTTTTCACAGTTATTACAAGTGCACCTAAAGAAAATTAAATGTATTCCCATAACAAAAAATTAGCTTGATTTTGTATATGTTGCCACATAATTATTGGTTGCTGTTATAACATTGAACATTCATCAACAAAACGGATAAAAACAAAATATTAAATATTGCTATTACCATTTACAAATGACAACCTATTTTGAAACTGACACTAGATGTAAAAGAAGAAAAAAAGATGTTATCAAGCCAACAGCACTTCAGAAATCCAGTGAAGACCGCAGCTATTCATTGTTTAGCACACATATTACTGTTACGGTAATTTCGTGACCGTTTTACTCAATAAAATATCATTCATATTATATATATATATATATATATATATATATATATATATATATATATATATATTATAACATATAATATATTTTCTGCAACGTATGTTTCATTATATATGTACAAAACTGCACTGTTTTCAGTATAGGTTCGTCCGTGCTTTCATTTTTGTAAGTATTATTTTCATTCATTTATTCAGCCTAGCCATAATTTATAAATACTTGAAGTGCGTTTTAATTTGTCCTAGCCTTATTACGATAGAATGCCATTACGATTGCATTTTTATGGCGTGGTTAAACCTCAGAAGTGAACGAGAAAACAAAGTAGATCGTTTTACCTGCTCTCTATTACAAACGGAGACATTACAACCATCTTATAATGTACTATTTCCTATATACACTAGTATGGGATGTCATGTTTTTTATAAGTATCATTTTAATTTATTTATTCTGCATAAACATTTAGCTTTTATAATTACCTGAAGTGCGTTTTAATTAAGCCTTACTATGGTACAATGTTATTACGATCGCATTTTTATGGCGTGGTTAAACATCAGAAAGTGAACGAAAAACAAAGTAGTTACCTGCTAACGTTATCCATTAGAAAGGGAGACCTTACAGCCACCATATAAAGTACCATTTGCTATTTACACTAGTATGGAATGTAATTTGTACAAACTGACCATTACTGTGTTACTGTGTACTACTATGAAATGCTGATGGCTTGACCACATTCCTCTTACCAATGAACAAAACAAAAACGTACCATTCCGAAACATCTTGCAAAAGTCGCGTTAGCATTAGTTCAGCTGTGTCCTCTTCATTTTCTGTGTCTGATTCGGGCTCAAACTGATACGGCTTCACTGACATTATTTACAGTCTGACGGACAGCATGCAAAAGAGGCATGACGTTTCCTGGTGACGTGATGCCGATCCACCAACCAAAACACATTAGGTTAGCTGACTAATCAGATCCCTTTGAGGGCGGGCTTTATAGAACAAACCAGGAAATATGATGGTCGTTTCCATGTTAGCTCAGTAGCTGTATAAATTGAAGGTAAGATCTGTGAACAAATAACGTGATTTATTACAAATGCATAATGAACCCACATTGTTTTGCACCCCATAAACACAACCAAAGCTTAAAAAAGCTATTGTGGACCACCCCTTTAATGAATGGAAGTTGGCCAGAGTCATAGAAGTTTATCCAGGGTCAGATGGTAGAGTGAGAAAGTTAAAATTGATGGCTAGTGATACCACAGTTGACAAATTTAAACCCATAACTAAAACTGTACTTGAAAGACCTATACATAAAGTTGTTGTTTTGCTTGAAGCTGATTAAGAGTGTGAAGATTAAGTAAAAAGTGTAAAACATTGCCAGTCTTGAAGTCTGAGAAAATCTCACATTGTGCGATTTGGTGGGAGTGTAACAGATTGCTGTTACTTTGTATATTATGTATATAAGTTTATGTTTTCAAAGAAAACAAGTTACATGTATTATTTGTGATTTTTTTTGGTTTGGGACTTTTATTTTGAAATCTCTGCGGCTGTATAAAATGGCTGACTGGACATGAGGTTATTAATTTGCTGTTAGCAAGCAATTGGCAAACATGAGTTGTTTGCATGTTCTCTTCAATGGATGTATTGACTTCAACAAGGACTTCAAGTGATTTAAGGAGCATTCAGAACAATTTCTTTCGTATAGCATGCAGCCAACGAGGTATTTTGCTTTATATTTGTATGTTGTGTTTGAAGTTTCTAAGCTTTGTTAGTTTGTGCACATATGTTTTGATTTGTATTAAGTACATTTGTTTTGTATTCATTGTTTAGTTTTCAAGGTGGATTTGGGGGAAAAAGCCAACAAATAAACCAGTAACACGGAAACCACTTGTGCTAGCGTATGCTTGAGGGAAATTATAATAGTAGAGCTGCACAATTAATCGTTAAAAGATTACGATCTTGATTCAACCCCCTAGACGATCTTAATCCAACATTTCTATGATTCTGCCAATCATATTTTCAAGTTCAGGAGAGAAGAAAAGGCGGCTGCACGAGTCTTTCCATTGTTTCACATACGTTGCTCAGTGACATTGACACGTCCAAATGATGTTGAATGAGTCACATAATGTATTTAAAAGGTATAATTCACCTAAAAATCTAATTTTGTCTTCATATAATGATGTTTTCGCGGCCAGGCTGACCGTGAGCTGTTATCACAGAGAGGGCGTGCGCGCTCTACTTAATGATACACACGTGCGGAGCCACGCGCGAAGTATGAACACGCACTTAGCAGTCAAAATTAAACAGAAAGTGTGCGCTTCATTTGAATGATCATATCGCATTTTAGAGTTACGATTACGGCAAGCATTTGATATGTTTTCTTTTTTTTATTTCATAGCAAACCCACGGTTGTGCATGAAAATAAATGTTTACAATGTCAGTATAACTACTCTAGCCTATATATTGTTGAATATAATCTGATAATTGCAAATGTCTGATTTTACCACTGAATAAATTTGTCTAATATAGGGATGCTCACATTGACCATTTAACCGTTAACCGAAAGGGTGCACTTTTGACCGATTAATGTTATCAGTTAAACGGTTTAAAATTATTATTATTATTATGATTATTAATATTTTCATTATTATATTGTCATTTAATAATAACATTAATATTATTAGTAGTATTGTTATATCCTTATACATTTTTAAATAATAAATAAATATGCGACACATATTTGTTAAGAACTCACGGTCCTTAACACGTGCAATCGCACGTGATTACAGAGGTCGCTGGTTTTGACAGAAGCAAAATGAAGAGAGCAAAAAGAAGTACCGTTTAGGACCATTTTGACAAAAAGGCAGACGAAGTAACTTGCAAAATATGCAACGCGGTATTAAAATACAGCAGTAGTACAAGTAAAATGCAATATCACCTGCGAAGCAAACATCCACATGCATTCTGTGATGAAGGACAACAAATGCTGCCCTCCATGTTATCAGGGAGAAGATGCGATGCACGGTGATCTGAAGAGAAAACTCAGAGAATATGTTTAATGGTAGTTAAAGACATTTTGCCTATCAGTGTCGTATGTGGTGAAGGTTTTCAAGAGCTGCTGAGATTTATTGAACAGAATTACGATATTCCTTCGCGAGCTACTATTACCCGTAGAATCAAGACCTGTTTTGAGGAGAGAAAAATATCGCTCAAAACACAACTCAGTCGCACAAAGTTTGTGGCCCTCACGACTGACTGCTGGACAGCCCTCACTACTGAAAGTTATATAACAGTAACTTGTCACTACATCACTGATTCTCACTGGTCTGAATGACCCGCTGCTCACCACTGCCATCTGCTGGACTATCCGGTTACTACTCGCACTGCTCATTTCTTCCCCTTATAAATAAAACTAACTGTTGCCTGAAATTGAATCTGATATCTTTTCTAACATATATATTCTGTACAAATTTACCCCAAAGATGAATACTTTAATATTTAGATTGTTCACTACATGGAGGCTTATGGTAAGAAGCCTTTTCCTTTGTCCCTCATTAATCTTTTACTTTCTTCTACTCACAAATGAAGTAGTATACAAATGATGCATCAACCGCGAGTGATTTTCCTGTTTAGTCAATACAAAGATGGGATCAGACATCCTGCGGTGCTCTTTGTATGAATGAGCACACACACAGCACGGCTTGAGTGTTTCGAGCATTTGACATGCTTAATATGTGATTCGCATGAATAGAGGAACTATGATGTCAATTCGTATACAAAACCCCTTAAGTGAGTTATCAAGAAATTTGACATTCCCATAACGTCTCTGTCGGTGTTCTGAGGACGTTCTGAGATGGTCACGATGTTGAATTGTTTAAAGGTGTGGAGAACATTATTTGGAGGACCTTTACAGAACATCTACAATGTTCTCAGAATGTTTAGGGGACCATACTTTGTTAGAAATTGTGACGTTCTCAGAACATTCTCATAACGTCCCCGTCGGTGTTAAGGACGTTGTTTAGTAACATTCCCAGAACGTTCTGAAAAGGTCACGATGTTGAGTTTTTTTTAAAGGTGTGGGGGAATGTTATTTGGGGGACATTTACAGAACATTCATAACTTTCTCAGAATGTTTAGGCGACCATACCCAGGTAGCAAAATACACTCAGGCCAGTTCCGGCTAAATTCTCACCATCAGAGCCAGAATCGGCCCGCGAGTAATATGTGCTGCGGCCCGGAGCTGGCGCGACTCAGTCTTAATATACCTTGTTATAAAACCTTTTGGTATTATATTTGTAGCAGATGTCATGTGTGTTTAAGATCTTATGCCAGTTCACCTAGGAACTAATTAAGGCGGAGCTAATTTCAGGGGGAACTATAAAAATGATGCACCACTGTGAGTAGAGAGACCAATGCATTCACTTCCAAGCATTCAACAAGCTAAGGAATGCTTATGCTTTTCTTGAGTTTCTCCCTTCCGTAACCAGCCAATGAGGTATGTTTGTTTTGTATGATTTGTTGGTTTTGTTTGATTTGAAGTGTGGTGTTGTTGTTGCTGTTTGTTTGGTGTGTGCATTTAACTGTTTGTTTATGAGCGGTGCTATTTATAAAGTTAAATTGTATTAGTTAAGATTATGTGATCCAGTGTTATGTGTGACCATAATGTGGTGATTTGGATTAATTTGATATGGAAATGCACTGTTGTAATTCATTGTTGTATGTTTTTTAGTTCTTACGTCTGGTACACCCCTGATGTCTTGTGGTTTGCTCTATGTTGAGAACTGAAGACTTGCTATGAAAATAAACCAGTCAGTAGAAACCAAAGACTCTTGCTCGTTTGTTGCTGGAGGGAGCTACAGTAAGAACTCAAGGCTCATTGCGAGTATGAAAGAAGAAGCAGGACAATTTAACCAATGAACTCAGTCAAGTGTTCTGTTGTGCAAAGCAACGAAGTGAAATTATACATGGTTCAGCAATATCAGAAGGAAAGGACATTGCCGGTGTAATATGGAGACGCAAGCATAACTTGAAGAGCAGCACAAGTCAAGACCAGCAGTAAGAGTGGTGCAGTTAAGTGTGATTAAAGGTACCTAACTGTGGTTAATGACTGCAAAGACTTTAAGTATTGTTTAATATTGTCATGTTCCTTTCAAAATGTTGGTGGTTTATTATTGACTTGTATGTAAATTAAGTACTGTTTAACTGCCTGTTTCTATTGCTGTGAAATAAGGGTAAATTTCACTTTCAGTGTTTAATCAAATTAAGGCATGATTTATGGTCTTAACTTTAAATTAAGGAATAAATAATAAAGAAAAGGATTTTAGAAGTGAAAAAGGAGAAGTTTGAACAATGTCAGATTTAGGTGAGCGGCCCATGGATGATAGAGTGAATCAGCAACTTGCAACTCAGCCCTCAGTAAGAAGTAAGGTGGCAACGGAAACTTCTGATGCTGTGGAGACTGAGCTACGAAGAGGAAAGAGGACTCGTAAGCTGACTGAAAAGGGTCAGAAGTTGCAAGAAGAGAAGTTGGAAAGGTATGAACAGAGATTCAAGGTCAGTTATGATAAATGGAAATCTCTTTTCAAAGAAGTAAAGTGGTTATTATCTGAGTCTTCTTCAATTGAATCATTACAAGATGTTATGGCAAGAATGACAAAGGCTTCTGCAGTTGTAGGCACTGGGTATGAAGATCTACGCCATTTGAGTATTCCTGACCATGATACACGCCGCCGAGTAGACCATTGTGAAGCAGTCACAAAGAAAATGGAGGTTTTGGTGAAGCATTATTTCGAAGGGAATAAGGAAATGGAGTCTGGATGGAGTGACATTGAGTTATCTGAAGAGGTCAGTGTGGGCACAAGGATTTCTAGAACATCTACATCGTCTCAAAGTAAGTCAAGATCTTCTAAGTTTTCAAGTTTATCTGCTGCCAAAAAACAAGAAGCTGCTGCTGAGGTTGCTGCTAATGAAGCCACTTTAGAAGTCTTAAAGGAACAGGATCGTCAGTTTAAGGAACTTCAGAAGCTTGAAGCTGAAGATAAGAAGCGTATAGCTGAACAAGAAGCTGATGATTTGAAGCGCCGTGAAGAAGAGGCTAAGGTGAAAGCTCAGCATGAGGTGGAAAATGCAGCTAGACGTAAGTTATTAGAAGATAAACGCCGCGAACTGGAACGTTTGGAGACCGTTAAGAAGTTAAATGCAGCTAAAGCACGTATGCAGATATATGAACAGAGTGAAGTTTCAGAAGATGATGAACTTTTGAGTGACTTGTCTCATGACTGTGAATTTAAAGAAATCCATGTGGATAAAAGACACCACAGACCTGATAATTTGTCAACAAAAAATGTCACTTTACAGCCAACAGTGACAACTCCACAAATAGATAATACTTCTCTTGTCAAGGCTTTGACTGAATCTATGAGTGTCAATCGACTTCCTGTGCCAGAACCAATGGTTTTTAATGGGGATCCACTTAAGTTCAATGATTGGAAAACGTCCTTTCAAATGTTAATAGAGAAGAAATCCATTCCTGCAGTGGAGAAGATTTTCTATCTAAGGAGGTATGTAGGAGATTCTGTCAAAAAGGCTCTTGAAGGCCATTTTCTTCTTGGAACAGATTCGGCTTATTGTTCAGCTTGGAAGATTTTGGAAGAAAGATATGGAAATCCATTTCTTATAGCCAAATCATTTCGAGAGAAGCTTTATGCTTGGCCAAAGATTGGTCCCAAGGAAAGTTTGGAACTACAAGAGTTTGTAGATTTCCTTCGTAGTTGTGAGGCTGCCATTCCTCAAATTAAAGAACTTGAAGTGTTAAATGATTGTAATGAGAACCAAAAAATTCTTGCCAAGCTGCCTGATTGGTTAACTTCAAGATGGAATAGAGAGGTGATGGAAACTGAAGAAAATACTAAAACCTTTCCAAGTTTCAGCCAATTTGTTAAGTTCCTCACAAAGGAAGCCAAGATTGTGTGCAATCCTATAACATCACTTTATGCTCTGAAATCAAGCGATAAAGAAGGAACAAGGACGTTGAAGACTCGAAGCTCTGTGGGAAAGGTGTTGGCGACTAATTCTGGTGGAGACAACCTCGTCTTGGTGAGTTGTGTTTTTTGTCAAAAAAATGATCATAGTCTTCATAAATGTCATAAGTTCATGGAGAAGACAGTTGTTGAACGACACAAGTTTGTCTATAAGAAGATGTTATGCTTTGGATGTTTGAAGCCTGGACATCAATCAAGGATTTGTCAAAACAGAAGTGTCTGTGACATTTGTGCAAAAAACCATCCTACCTGTCTTCATGAAGATCGTTCAAGGAGTGTTGGAAATCATGGGGTGACTGAAAGCTTTAAGAAGAGTACAGATCCTTATCAGCATAGACACACAAGAGTTCTAAATGAGGCAACTTCGAACCAGGTAATGCAAGAAATGAATAATACCTGCACTTCTTCTATTATACCTGTATGGGTGTCTACAACATCTGAACCAGAAAAAGAGGTTCTAGTATATGCTCTCCTTGATACACAAAGTGATACAACCTTTATTCTTGAAGAGACTACACATGCATTGAATGTTAAGAAGGAAGCAGTTCAATTGAAACTTGCAACTATGGCTTCAAAGATTACAGTCGTTCCTTGTTTTAAAATGAAGGGTCTTCAAGTTAGAGGGTTTTATTCGAAAACTAGGATTCCTCTGCCAACAACCTATTCAAGAGAGTTTGTTCCTGCCAGCAAAGATCACATTCCTACACCACAAACAGCAAGAGTATGGCCTCATCTTGAACATATTGCAGATGTCCTTGCTCCTCGACAAGGTTGTGATGTTGGCTTATTAATTGGATACAACTGTCCACAGGCTCTTCTTCCACGAGAGGTGGTGGCTGGTGAAGGAAATCAACCTTTTGCACAGAGGACCGATTTGGGATGGAGTGTAATTGGTCATGGTAATCCATGTGTTGACTCTGGCGATATTTATGGAACAAGTCATCAGATTATTGTGAGGCAAGTAATGCCAAGTATACCTGCTTCTGTCAATCTCAAAACGAAGGTGCACTATGTCTGTCGAACACAAATCAAAGAAGTGGTTTCTCCAATAGATGTCATCAGGGTGTTTGAATCTGATTTTTGTGAGCAAGAATCTGAGGATTGCTGTATGTCTCAAGAGGATCTTCGATTCCTAGGGAAAATGAAAGCAGGTACATCATTAAATAAGGCTGGACATTATGAGATGCCACTACCATTTAAAGGTGACAGGCCTAACTTGCCAAACAATAAAGTCTGTGCAGTATATAGTCTCAAATGTTTGGCAAGAAGATTTAAGAAGGATATGCAGTATTACAGTGATTATACTGCTTTCATGAATGAAATCATTGCCTGTGGAGATGCTGAGAAGGTTCCACCTGAAGAAGCTGAGAAATGTTCAGCATGGTACATTCCTCATCATGGAGTGTATCATCTAATAAAGCCTGGAAAAATTAGAGTTGTTTTTGATTGTTCTGCAAGGTTTCAAGGAACTTCTTTAAATGACCATCTTTTGACAGGCCCAGAGCTGACAAATACTCTAGTGGGTGTCTTGTGTCGTTTCAGGAAAAATCCAGTTGCCATTATGTGTGACATAGAACGCATGTTTCATCAGTTTCATGTCAAAGCAGAGGACCGAGATTATCTTCGATTCTTATGGTGGGACAACGGCAATTTGGAAGCTCAACCCTCAGTGTATAAAATGAAAGTTCATTTATTTGGTGCAGCTTCTTCCCCAGGTTGTGCAAATTATGGTCTTAAACATCTTGCTGCTGAAGGAAAAGGAATGTTCACTGAAGATGTTATTAGGTTCATCCAAAGGAACTTTTACGTTGATGATGGATTAGTAAGTGTTCCAACTGAAGCTGAAGCAATTGCCCTTGTGACTGAAGCTAAGAAACTCTGTAGCACTGGGAAACTTCGACTTCACAAGTTCATTTCCAACAGTAAGAATGTTATCGCTTCAATTCCTCAAGAGGATCTTGCTAAAGGAGTAAAGGATTTGGATCTGGATCTGGGTGAGATGTATGTGGAGAGAGCACTTGGTGTTCAATGGTCAATTGCATCTGATGAATTCCAGTTTAGAGTCATTGTAAAGGAACATCCATTTACTCGCAGAGGAGTGTTGTCAACGATAGCATCTGTGTTTGATCCACTTGGATTTATGGCACCATTCATTTTGGTGGGCAAGAAGATCCTACAACAGCTGTGCTACAACAAGGCTAGTTGGGACGATTCATTGCCTGAAGACTTGCAATCTCGATGGGAACGTTGGCTTTTAGATCTGCCAAATTTAGCTGATGTGAAGATCCCACGATGTTATGTTCCACAGATAAGTAACGAAGCCATTCGTTTTGAACTCCATCATTTCTCTGATGCTAGCATCTCAGGGTATGGGGAATGCTCCTATCTTCGAACAGTCAGTGCATCAGGTGAGGTTCATTGCTCTTTCGTCATGGGAAAGTCACGAGTTGCACCAACAAAAATAACTACTATTCCAAGACTAGAACTTTCAGCTGCAGTGGTCGCTGTACGGGTCAGTGATATGCTGAAGAAAGAATTGGACATTAAGGATTTACAGGAATGTTTCTGGATTGATTCTAAGGTAGTTCTGGGATACATCAACAATGATGCTAGGAGATTCCAAGTTTTTGTAGCTAATCGTGTTCAACGTATCAAGTTGAGTACTGAATCGAATCAATGGAAATATGTAGGCACTGAAGACAATCCTGCAGATTCTGCTTCTAGAGGTTTGATGGTTGAACAACTAGTGGCGTCAAGTTGGCTCAAGGGACCAAAATTCTTGTGGCAGAAAGATCTTCCCAGTGATGAAGTTAAGGTGGGAGATGTGATCACAAGTAATGATCCAGAGCTTCGAAAGGTTCAAGTTTTCAATATCCAAGCAAATAAAGAAAAATCATTGTTAGAACGTCTTCTCAAATTCTCGGACTGGGCAAGGATGGTGAAGGCCATTGCCAGACTTAAACGGTATGTAAGAGAAGCTAAAGGTTTTGAATCCAAAGCTTTTGAACCTACTACTTTGGAGCAAAGGAAAGATGCTGAGCTCTTTATCATTCGGTTAGTTCAAGAAGCAACCTTTTCCCATGAAATGACGAGTCTCAAGAAACAACTAGCATTTACATCTGATGCTCAAACCAAAAGCCAGTTGTACAAGTTAAGTCCTTTCCTGGATAATCAAGGCATACTGCGAGTTGGAGGTCGCTTGGCAAATGCAACTCTTCATTTAGACGTAAAATATCCTGCCATTCTTCCAAGGAAAAATCATTTCTCAGCATTACTAATCAAACATTATCACGAACGAGTACAACATCAAGGGCGAGGAATGACCGTGAATGAACTTCGGTCCAATGGTATATGGATTCTTGGATGCAGTAGTGCTGTTTCTTCTCACATATACAAATGCCTGAAATGTAGGAAATTTAGAAGGTGTGTAGAAGAACAGAAAATGGCTGATCTTCCTGAAGATCGTGTGCAGCCAACTCCACCTTTTCTATTGTGTGGAATGGATTGTTTTGGACCTTTTTATGTTACCGATGGTAGAAGGCAACTCAAACGCTATGGGTTATTGTTGACTTGTATGTGTTCCAGAGCCATACACATTGAAATGCTTGATGCTCTGTCTACTGATGCATTTATTAATGCTCTCCGCTCCTTTATAGCCATTCGTGGAACAGTTCGCCAAATTTGATGTGATCAGGGTACGAACTTTGTGGGGGCAAGCAGAGAATTTATGAGCACATTGAAAACAATGGATCAAGGGCAGATAAAGAAACTTGGCTGCGAGTTGATCATGAACATTCCATCAGCAAGTCATATGGGAGGTGTCTGGGAAAGACAGATCCGTACCGTAAGAAATGTTTTGACTTCTGTTCTTGACCAATGTCCTGGGGCACTTGACAGTACTTCCCTGCGAACTCTGTTGTATGAGGTTATGGCTATTGTGAATAGCAGGCCTTTGACTGTTGAGCATTTGAATGACCCTCTAGGTCCAGAACCTCTTACCCCAAATCACATCTTGACAATGAAGTCTATGATTGTGGAACCACCACCTGGAGAGTTTGTCAAAGAAGATCTTTATCTCCGTAAACGATGGCGCAAAGTGCAGTATTTAGTCAACAACTTCTGGTCGCGCTGGAGAAAAGAGTATCTTTTAAATCTTCAGCAAAGACAGAAATGGAATAAGAATCGCAGGAATGTTAAAGTGAATGACATAGTAATCCTTAAAGATGATGTTTCACCACGTAACAAGTGGAAATTGGCAAAGGTGGTAGACGTGTACCAAGGAAAGGATGGCAAAGTGAGACAAGTCAAGTTGTTAATGAGTGACTCTTCGCTTGATGGAAAGGGTAAGCGATTGTCTAAACCAAGTTACCTTGAGCGTCCAATACAGAAGGTAGTCATTCTTCTTGAAGCTGATTGAAGACTGCTTGATTTCACACTATCACTCCATGGGTTGCATTATTTTTCATAATTGTGTTTAAGTGTGATTTATAAAACAGGAAAAAATCACAAGTGATTTGGTGGGAGTGTAGCAGATGTCATGTGTGTTTAAGATCTTATGCCAGTTCACCTAGGAACTAATTAAGGCGGAGCTAATTTCAGGGGGAACTATAAAAATGATGCACCACTGTGAGTAGAGAGACCAATGCATTCACTTCCAAGCATTCAACAAGCTAAGGAATGCTTATGCTTTTCTTGAGTTTCTCCCTTCCGTAACCAGCCAATGAGGTATGTTTGTTTTGTATGATTTGTTGGTTTTGTTTGATTTGAAGTGTGGTGTTGTTGTTGCTGTTTGTTTGGTGTGTGCATTTAACTGTTTGTTTATGAGCGGTGCTATTTATAAAGTTAAATTGTATTAGTTAAGATTATGTGATCCAGTGTTATGTGTGACCATAATGTGGTGATTTGGATTAATTTGATATGGAAATGCACTGTTGTAATTCATTGTTGTATGTTTTTTAGTTCTTACGTCTGGTACACCCCTGATGTCTTGTGGTTTGCTCTATGTTGAGAACTGAAGACTTGCTATGAAAATAAACCAGTCAGTAGAAACCAAAGACTCTTGCTCGTTTGTTGCTGGAGGGAGCTACAATATTAGTACTTGATACATGGTATTACAACCATTTGTATTTATATATATATATATATATATATATATTTATATATTTATATATTTATATATTTATATATTTATATATATATATATATATATATTTATATATTTATATATATTTATATATATATATTTATATTTATATATATATATATATATATATATATATATATATATATATATATA